ACCATCTGCAACAGTGCTGTTAAATGGCCCATCCCACTGTGTAGCCTGGAGCCAGGATACTGCTCTTGAGAGAGTTCCCTGCTCAGTGAGCACAGGCAGGCCTCCTGCTAGGTGTGTGTGATCAAAGCAATGAGGTATTGTAAGGACAGATGGGACATACACAGCTACCAGCAAGATTTCCTCCTGCATCATGTCTGCTCATTAAGAACTACTTGCTAATACTCTTTTTCACTTATCCCATTACCAGGGTTTTTTTTCAGACAAAATCGGATTCGTAGCAGTTGAACACCCTCACCACAAGCTTTTCTATAACCCAGATAAGGAAACTGCACATAATCCTAGAATATTTTCTCCCCTTGTTTCCCCCCCACACATACACACACTTTGCTACACCCCAAGCACCTTTGTCTAGTTGTGGGCAAAGGCTCAAAGCTTGAGAGACGGCAAAAAGGAGTCTTGAGATTAAAGGGTGTACAATATGCAGCCAGACAGGCTAGAAAAGTAGCAGGCAGTTGTTGTCCTGTTTAAGTTAGTTGTCTGTTTCTCAGACAGTAATGACTGTCTGCAAAATATCCCTCCAAATACCCAAGCTTGGCTGCTTTAAGGTTAGCAATGTTCAGGACGAAGTGCAAAGCAAAAGGCTGGAACCAGTGACACTAATGGCTATGTTGGGGCTCCCACAGTTAGTGCTACTGCTTAGGACTGCATTCCTATTCCATGTTACAAAATAGCGACAGAGCATTTGGAAAGAGAAATGGAAACTCCTGCCAGGTGGTATTGCAACTCCTTCACATCAAGTTTCCAGGGACATTCCCAAAGTCAGGTTGAAGGGCAGTTAATCAAGGTAACTGTAAAATTACAGTTCTTCTTCAGCTACAGAAACTCCTCACACACTCCAGCTGTACTTCCATAACTTTCCCTGAACTGCTTCATACAGACAGCACTGGCCAGAACTTGCAATTCGAGACTTGGCATCTCAGAATTGCTGCAAATGGCTTTGAATGTTTTAGATTTTAATAGAGTTGCAATTTATAAGTAAGAAGTTAAGACAGTGGAATGCACAAAGTATTTGAGACTAATTTAAAAGAAAAAAAAAATGAAAAAAATGAAAATACAATGAATTAAAAGCTGAACAAGACTCTCCTTATCAGGTTAACCTGAATATTACTGTAGTCTCTTATATTACTGATTCCATTTCTCATAAGGATCTTTTTGGTTTTTGCTGCGATTGAGGCCTGACCAAAGGATGGGAATTTATTTTAGCATTTAGGAAACCAACAAAAAGGCAGCAGCAAGGATAAAGATTGGTTCAATAAGGATGAGATGATATTGGAAACAAGTATTACTGAAGATCATAGGTGGAACTTATTATTATGGACATACACATGCAAGTGGCAGACAGAGGAATTAAAAACAGATCATTTAAAGAATCCTTATTCAGTTTTCTGCACTGGTAGCAGTCAGAACTGGTAATAAATGCAAATGCTACTCCCCCAAACCTTGACTTGTTTTAGCTGTTGATGCAAAGGAAGATAGGTTTACTTTCTACTTTTAGTTGCTGCTGGAATTCTAAACTGACATGAAGGAAAGGACTGAGGTGCTGAGCACAGATCTCCAGATCTATGCAGGCAATTAACAGCTTCTGCAATGTCACCAGGTAGATGGAAGCGCTAGAACCAAGGCTTCTCAGCTCTTCAACTTCCTCTTGCATTTGCTACACAGAATGGCAGCACTTTACCACAACTGAATTTGCTACAACTGAATGGCAGCACTTTGCAATCAACTTTCTACAGCAACCAGAGGTCAGCTTAACTCCTCCGAGCCTGTGATATACCCAGCCCTGCACTCTGGCAAGCACCAGGCCCCACAGCCAAGCAAGTCTACAACAGTTTCCAGTTCTGTGACTCAAAATGACACTTTGTTGCACACTGGAACAAAGCTGAAGCATGAGAAGTTTTTCAATTTCAGAATGAGCTCAAATACAAAAGCACAACAAAGATACATTCATGTCTGCAGAAAGCACTTGAAAGAACAGGCTACACATGAGATGGTGACTGCTGGAACCTCAGTCAAAGCACAAAGAGTGCTGGAGTATCAACCAGATTTTTCACCATGTAATAGTTAGTAACCAGTGGCTTCGAAACAGCAGTCTAAATAAGGAAGCTGAGTAGCCAGGCTGGGAAAAGACGTACAGCAGTTTATGAAATTAGCTGGTGGTCCGCACACAACAGCAACACAAGAACCACTCCAAAAAACAATTCCCAAGCATGAACGTACTGCAATAATACATAACAGGCTTCACATTGATCACACTACATAATTACAAGTTAAAAAAGGAAGCAAGAAATTAAACCACATTAGGAAAGCGAGATAGGAATGAGAATAGATTATTCATGTAGTTATCCTGAACATTTTCCAGGGAAAAAGAAATTCATCCCATCAGTTTCTAAGCTAGAAATTACATTACATAGCTCTACCAGTGCAATTAGATCTACTTCTTACATTCTAATACGCTTCCATTTGTGAAGCCACCAGGCCAGCTGAACACAATGCATATGCAGCCATTACATAGCTATTAAAAAAGATAAAAGCCACTTTCAGCTTGCCATAAACCCACAGATAGATGACTTCATCCTTGTCCAAGTACATCAACAAAAAGCTTACAGCCTCCAAGTGACCATCACTACTTACTTGAGAGTCTTAAACCTAGCAATTTACCCTCAGGAAGTAGTACATACAAGTTCAACTTTTATGACTGCAAAAAATGTCACGTTGATTTAAATCATTTTTAATAGTCATCTGAGCTAACATAGACAATATCTGAGATTGGTATCATGGATTGGTTACCTGAATCAACCTTCCAGCAGATCTACATTCCCAGTGGAGCCATGAGAAGAAACAGCCAGAAAACCTAACCTCTTCCACAAGCACAGCTGGATTCTGAAGAAAATATCATTGTATGGCTGCATTTAATCGTGAGAGCCAGTTAACTGAAGACTAATTAACTCCCTGCTGGCATTGTTATAGTAGCAGAGACTCTGTAGAAGAGATGATGGCAGCAACTTCTTGAAGCTCAATAATTAATAATTCTGCAATTTCCATCACAGTAAATTAATGTACAGAAAATTCTGTGTAAAATAACAAGACTGATTATTTCAGCCATTTAGCTACAGATTGGCACAGTCAAAGAAAACAGGCCCTGAAACCACCTGCCTAAGTCCCTATTCTATACACACTAATGCCATACACACTAATTCAAGACAACAAAACCGTATTTTGTAAAATAGAGCAGGTCATGGGTAAGGATCTATCTACATCATAAATTAATGGAGCTGTGCTGTGGATGTTTCCAAAGTTCACACTCAGGTTAACATTTTTGTCATGCACTACCACACTTCACATCCATTACACCATGAACCTCACTTCCCTCCCACACCAGTGCTTTCCCAGCTGAAATGCTCATGTTAGTGTAACAGTGGAAGCCTTTAATAATAATAATAATAATAATAATAATAATAATAAAGGGAGAAAGCCTATAGAGAAGAAATGAAAGGATTTTCAAGATGTGCTCAATCTTGTTGTATTTCCTTTAGAGGCTCTCCATGTGGGCACAGAGTACAACACCACAAACTACTGGAACTTTGAAATGCTGCAAACATATGACACACACTTGCCCTGCCTTCCTGATGGTGACTGCATCCCAGCTGAAGCAGGACTGTAACTGCTATTACAAATGTACGTCACCCTTGATTTCCTTCTGCAATTTGCTTCAAGCCTATAAGTAGCAGCTTGTAATGGATGAAGGGTGACTTACTTTACTCCCTTGTTCTTTCTGTTTACCTGAAAACTTCTCCAAAACAATTCAGGAGGACTTGCACTTAAGCTCTCTACGTGAATCATTCCCATCTTTTATCTGCATGACTCTACTGAAAGCCACGTAGGCGTGCGAGAAGCAAACTCCATTTTGTCAAGAGTTTGTGTTAAAACATTTGTGGTGTCCTCTGACAAACTGTTCCCAGCTGTTTAGAGCAAGCTTTAAGAACGGTAACATACAGAGAAAGCGCACTTCTTTCCTCCGTTTAAACTGGGCTCCTCGTAGCACTGCATCAGAACTGCAGACCACATCCAAAACACTCGAGATCCGCACACTACAAAGGCCACCAGGTTTCAGGCAGTTCAAAACAAACAGCCCATTCAAGCACTACGCTGCTCCTTATGTCCTCCCGCACGGGGCGGATTCACCGCTTGACAAACGCATTTAAGGCCTAAAGGCGCACGGCACGCGGTTCGGCCGGGACAGGCGGACGAAGCCGTTCCTCCAGCAGCAGATGAGGCCAGGCAGGGCCGGCGACGGCGGCCCCCCCGCGGGGCAGGCAGAGCGAGGCCGGCGGGCCCCCACGGCGGCGGCCCCGCCTCATCACCGCCGCCGCCCCTCGCCAGGCGGCCCGGCGCCGTCCCCCTCCCCGCGCAGGGGCGGCCCGCAGCGCCGGAGACCCACGGGCGGACCCGGCCGCGCAGCACCTGCCCCGTCGCCTCCTCTCCCTCCCGAGTACGGGCAGCCCGCTGCAGCGACGCGCGGGGAGGCGGCGGGGAGCCGCCGCGGCCCGACAGCGCCGGGGACGGGCCCCAGCGGCGGCCGCCCGCCGGCGGCCTCCGCCATTTCGGAAGCCCTGCCCTATCGGGAGCAGGGGGAGGGCGAGGCTCCTCCCCAGCCTCGCCGCTTCGCGCCGGAGCCCACCGGCCTTTACCTCCCGCCGCTCGGCTCGCTCGCTTCTGCCGGCCGCTGGGACGGGGGAGCTGCTCGGCGGCGGCAGGGGAGCGGGGCAGCTGCGCGGAGCTCGCCGCGGGGACACAGTGCCGCTCTCCGTCCGGACGGGGAAGAACAGCCGGGAGGAAGCTCCGCTCCGCTCCGCACCGCCCCTCCCCGCCGGGCCCGCAGCGCCGCCCCGCGAGGTCCGGCCGCGGGAGGCTGGGCGGCGGCGCGGTGCCGAGGGGCGGCCGCGCGGGGTTTGGTGAGGGAGGTTCGCTGCCGAGAGACAACGGCAGCCCCCGCTCAGCTGGTCGCAGCTCCCGTGCCCGGGGGGCGGCACTCGCCGCCTTTTTCACGTGGCTGGTGATGCAACCGGGCGTTAAACGGCTTTCGTGCCAACCTCTGGAAGGGCCGGTTCCGAGCCTGCCGAAACGCACCGAAACGCGACCTTAGGCGCCTCCCCCACCCCGCTTTGTCCCGGGCCCCTCCCCGCCCCCCGCACGCAGCCCCTCCCGCCGAGCGCAGCGTCCCGGGGAACGAACCTGCGGGCCGCGCCGCGCTCCGCCCCGTGGGCCGAAGCGGCCAGACCTCTCCCGTGAAAGGCGAGGAGCGCCGCCGCCCCCGAGCTGCGGGGCCGCGTGCCGGCCTACGGATCGCTTCCATTGTGATTCGTCCCATTCGGAGAAAGCGGCATTCTCCAGTCCACGTTTGCCCCTTCCGCTGTCGTACAAGAACTGCCTTGGGCGGACATTAAAGCTCTGCCGATGAAGCGCCCCGTCTCACAAGAGCGCAAGGCGCTCCCACCGCCCGACCGCTTCCTCCAGGGCTGAGGTCCTCGCTGCCCCCAGGCCCTGCGTGCCTTACAGCTGGAACTTCAACTGCGAGGTCCAGGGAGAACAACCAGGTGCAAAAAAGAAAAGTTTCACAATTAAATAATCACGCATGGGGAGCCCACGGTGGTCTTCTTGCACAACCTGCAAAAGAGCTCAGCGACTTCGCTGCTGCTTGCAGGGATCACAGTCCTCCAGTGCTGTTTGTTAGGACAGCACCTAAAAAGCTATTTAATTTTGTTTAAACGTAGGCTCACGTATATTTTGCAATACAAGTAACGTTTTAAAAAGTGGGAAAAAAATTATTCAAAACATTTAATTCTCAGGCAATTAGATTGACTCAACTTGACTGTCACTGCTGTTTCAGTGCTTATCTCGTAGTTGTGTGGTGTGCAGTATTTAAACAAATAAAGGGCAAACCTTCACATTTCTACTACAATACATACATACATATTCATCCACAGGATGCGCTGCTAAATTTCAAATAAGTGCTCTCTTGCCGTGACTCATGGTAAGATAAAAAAAATTACTCAATACCGTGGTATTGGAAATGTCCAGAATCGTGGAAGAAAAACATCCATCAGCATTTGTGTGCGTATGCCTAGTGTCAAGCAGCAGCTTTGTGCACGCACAGGAAACTGTTTCTTTACTTCATTTGTTCAGTGCCTGGACAAATATCAGAAACAAAATCTTTTCTGTTTCAGGGTGTGATGCTGGTAAAGTGTTAATCATACGTTAGGAAAAATAGGTCGCATAGATTCCAGTCTAATGACTGCATCTTTGTATTTTTAAGGTTGCCAGAAAGAGGAAGAGGAAGGCTTTCATTATGCTAAGTCCAATTGCCTCCATTAAGCTGCCATGCTGGTGGGGTGTTGCTGCTGGCACTTGATGCATGAAACTATGTTGTTCTTTGCCAGTTGTACATATTACAGTATTTGACACCATGAAAATGCCAGACTAATTTGGGTACTGGCAGATTTCTCACTACAACAGCTAACACTTTAAACAGGAGGGGGGGTTGGTATCTAGATAATTATCATCACTGTAGAAGAGATTCTTTATCTCTGTGCCTTTCTTTGTTTTCACACAACCATTTTTCAAACTTAATCACTTATTATCTGCTATTGTTTGGTAGTTTTTTGGTTTTTGGGTTTTTTTAATTATTTTAATTCACCTCTTCTTATGTCTACAGTTGGCTTGTTTATACTTGGAATGGCTTGAACATACAGCGTGTAATCTGTGCTGTTTGGCACAAGCATTCAGTCACTGAATGCTTTCACAACAGATTTTCCATTTCTGTTTCTACAATCCTGCCTTCTCAAAGTAAAAATACTTCACTATGCTCTTGCTTATGTTATAACTCACATTAAAATATTATTACTACCAGATCTGGATTGTAAAAAAAAAAAACAAGAAAATGTCAGTCTTTTTTGATGTTTCTGATTATACAGACTAAATCTACTCAGCAAATTGTGATTTCCTTCTGTGCTCAAATTGCCTCTGAGGGTCTACAGCTAAAGAGATTAGATTAGATTAGATTCTGATTTGCAAGAACAATTTCAAGCTAGACTTTTGGATTGAATAACATTCTTACTCTGTAAGAAAGGCATTTAACTGTGTCAGTTTTAAAGATTCTTATTTTTATATACATGAACATACTGAACATACAGTAATAAATACCTCAGGGAAACACCTGTGAAATTGGGATGTATTAAAGATTCAGATTTGCCTGCAGTAAATATAAAATTTTTTTTCCAGGAATTTATGGCACAGCTGTCATAATTATTCAGACTTTTCTACTTTTTTTTTTTTTCTTTTTTTGGAAGGAGAGCTCTGAAACTTGCAAACAGAGCCCCATCTTACAGTGTTACTTCCCATCTTCTAGAAAGGAGAGATGAGAAGAGCTCATAACAAATTCCCACAGTAAACGTTTACATAAAAGTTGATTCAGTCTCTCTGTGCTACAAGCCACCTCTTCCTAAGATGCCTTCCACTGTCCCTTGCCATCTTTAGGTTTCACTTACATTGGAGAGAATACAAAGGTAGCCTTTTTTTTTTTTTTTTCTCCAATGGATTTACCTTAATGCTGATTTAAGATGTTTACTTTGGCTTTCTGGACTGCATGTGTCTCCGATCAGTATTACGTTGTCTATGATCTTGGAGTTTGTGCTCCTACAAGAAATAACTTCTATCAGTCAGAATTCAGTTTCTCAAGTTAATTCTGTAGAGTTAGAAAAAAAAAAAGCTTTACATAAATAAATGTTTACAGAGTAAGTCACATAGTTATCTCTTCTCCTCTAGCCCTCTTCAGATTTATATAAATGCACAGTGAATTATAGTGTTTGATCTGTATAAAGGGACTCCACATCTAACTCCTAAACTTGAAATCCATTGATCTTCTGTTCCATACAGCTATAGACTCCTTAGTTAACTGCAAAAATTCTCTCTCCAGTTAGTATCACTGTAGTAATGTTAAATTATTCACATACATATATTTTTTCATTTCAAATAATATATTTTTCTGCACCTGTATTAAAGTAGCACCTTAATTCTGCTTACACAGGATTCTATTTCAGAAATCTTAAGTGAGGAAAAAGTAGTGCTTAGAAACAGCACAAATTTAGCACACTGAAAGCAACAGCAAAAATTCTGCCGGCTTCAATAAGATTTGAAGTGAGCTGGTCAGACTAATTCCAGCATTACAAATAATGAATCATAAATTATCAAAATGGTCAACAAGTCAACGCTTTGGTTCACGTACCCTTCAGGAAACTACCAAAGGAGCATATGAGCTTACTGTTGAAGGTTAGTAATATTATGACTTTTTCAAGTCTTGGATGAAAAGGCATTCTAAAGGGACATGTTGCTAGTATTTAGTTAACGTCCGTACACTTTAAAAGAGACTCTAGAGAGACTGCAGAAAAATATACAGTTTGTATACCTGATATATTAAACATTGCAAGAAAATACAAAGTATAAAGATGCTTAGGTTTTTGGAAAGGGAATGGGGAGAGGTAATGACAACAACTGCTGTAATCCAAGAAGTAAAGAATTATACTTAATTTTATCTTTTCTGCAGGCAGTGTGAGATCATGCTTTTATGGCTGAAAGAAGCCTCGCTGCCATGAGGACTTTCTGAATTTGGAATAAGCTCACACTTCAGTTTTGATTTGTGATGAATCTTATTCATGTATTGGATGTTCTCTGCTGTGCTGTTTTCATCAATCCAATATGTCAAATTTTATAGATATCAAAAATCTATCCCAATCTGCTGAAACCAGAGAAAGGAAAAACAAGTTGTGCTGAACACTCCTCCCTGGTGTGAGATAAAAAGTGATAAGCTGACTTTCATTGAAACTCATGTTTTCATCTGTTAGCTATCATTGATTTCACAAACTGCATCAAACCTATCCCATAGCAAATTTAATATCAGTAATCCAAGAGATCAATGTATTTAAGATGTGGTCTAAGAACAAGGCAAGGAGTAAAACTTACATTTGTATCATTTTAATAATCAGACACCATTTTTTATCTCTGCAATAATTAGAACAAGCTGAACAGGAAGAAGAAAAAAGAGATAAATGTTCGACACTTCAGCAACTTTACCATCATCAACATGTCTCAATTTTAAAATAGTAAAGAAAAGCATAGGGGATCCCCTTTATACCTGACTTAGCTGAGATCACCTCTGAGCCACAACACACCATCTGTGTACCACCACCATTCAATACCACAGAACAGAATAACAGACATAAATATGCCATCTATTTGAAACTGCAGGAACTCTGTAAGCAGAGTGCTGTTATCTGAATTGGAATTTGACCAGGATGTTTACTTACGGATTTTAACAAAATAATTGCAGTATGCTCACCAAGAAAGAAGACATTTCCAAGGAACAGCATCATTCATGGCCTCCACTCATGGGTAAAGCTGGAGCTGCAAGAACAAAATGCCCCACAACAGAACCCCGGGGGTCTCTGCTCTGTTGCACAATGACAGCCGGAGCTCCGGAAGGAATTGTTCTGGTTTGGAACTGGGCTACGATTTTCCAGGTTGAGACAGAACTAACATCATTCAAGAATTTGTAATACGAGACTTGAGCATTTTATTTTGTTTGGTAGCTGAGCTTCTCTTGGGATATCTTATTCACAGTCAGGTCCCTAGTATAAGTGATACCAGCAAAATCCAAATCATCCAACATTGTACTGTATCTTCCTTAAGGGAAATGGGGATAGAGGCAGAAAGGGAAAGAAGGTTGTTTCTTTTAGCAGGAAAAATGTACTACAAAACTACAGTAATTTTCAATTCCTACCTGTTTACCTTCACCCCAATACATGAACATGAGAAACCTACCAACTAGCTGGCCTGTATTAGGGTTTCAGTACAGTAAGTTATTATGCATCACCTAGAATAACCGTTTTACTTAGAGCAAAAAAAGGGCATTTCCTCAAATACATTAACTGCAAAGTTCACTTAACGTGATGGAATCATTTTGAGGTGCAGAACCGAACCCTTGAAAATATTCACTGAAAAAGTAAATTTTAATTTGACTTTATTATAAAGAAAAGTTTAAAAAGCTATCGGTAAATGTAATATTTCAACTAAAAATTAATTACAACATTTTAGTTATTCCAGATTTAAAAAATAAACAAACAGACAAAAAAAAAAAAAAAAAACCCCGCAGTGTTCCCATTCTCCTGTCAGCTGTTTTATTGCTCTCATTCACAGATTTTAAAATGTTGGACCTTGCTGCAGAATGGAATTTCTAATTATGACCCTGAATTTTAGTTTCAGGAACCTATTAATGTCATCTGAGTGAATAAACACTTTTACCTGTCAAGAAAGACTCTATTCCACTGACTGATCAAATCATTTACCAGAAGTTAACAGCCTGCCAGTTACAAGTGATTTATAAATGTTTACCTCACAGTGACTGTTATCATCAGATTACAAAATGTATAAAAATCTATTTGCTTTCTTTCAGCAGTGTTTTTTTTTAGAGGTTTTATTTCGAAATACAGATCTGGCCCAGACCTTTGTATTTCACAAAAACTTTCTGAGTTCAAAACTCTACACTGTATAAGTACATGCTACATAAGCACAGGTATGTGTATCCCGTGTGGTGTCAATGTTCCTCAGTCACCAGCTTTACAAAAAAAACCTGTTTGGCTGCAGCAACCTTCAAGCTTAACCTCAGTCATGCTGCTTGTAAAAATAAATTAGGATCCACTTTATGGTCTAAAATCACTAGCACTCATTTATGAATTCAATTTCACTAACTAGTTTCTGAACTTGAATAACTTGTGTGCTCTACTCCTTACACTGAAACAAGAAGCCAAGGAGATGGGGGAAGGGAGCAGGGAGTGTTGAGCATTTAAAAACAGCTTCATAGACTACATTTCTTTTTTCTTTTTTTTCTTTTTTTTTTTTTTTAAGGAAATTCTTTGTTCAGTATGTGACTCCATGTAACTGTCACATGACGGAATCTTGGTTACTTAAATAGACTCCATCGTTATTTGGTCACTGCTGAATGGGGAACTATGGAACTATTTTGTTTTTTTTTTTGCCTTTCCTGCTTTTTTTTTTTTTTTTTTTTTTTTTTTGTCTCTTCAAAATAATCCACCTTTTACTTCTACTTTATACCATTTCAACCCTTCTGTCACTAGAAACAGGGCCACATTCTTTCCCAATGAATAACACCAGCAACAAAAGAAACTCAAATTTAGAGCACTGCAGGCAGCTTAACACCACCTTACGGTTTCAGATACAAAACATGACAGTACCTTTTTAAGTTTCCAATTTATTCAGGGGCTAGGTAAAAAAATAGGGTTAGCTTGGACATGGCAAACTCATGTCAAATCCAAGTAACAAGGCTGAGGGAGTCAGATCTTTAGCTCTACTCCACCCTGCTCATGATATTCAGATTCGTATCTGTAACCAGATTTAGCTCACACACAATTCAGGATGTCGCAATTTGGATATGGGCCCATCTTAATAGGCAAAAAAAAAAAAAAAAAAAAAGCTGTTAATACAACCAGTATGCAAAAAATGTTTAAGCTTTCTTCAAATGGATGATCAGACAATGAACTCTTTGAATGATTTGATTCCTGGTGCCTACGTTCCCCTGGGAACCTGGGAGAAAGAACATAGCGTAAAGTAACACTGAAAGAGGAGCGATTCATTTGTTTGATGCACCTCTTCCATTGCTGAGGTGTGATCTCTTCTCTTGTGCAGTGGTGATGGTTAGAGACACCAGTGGGTAACTTCGATAAGAATTACATCCTTATGTCACTATTGTTATGAACTGGACAATTTTCAACATTACACATTTACTTTTCAAATTCAGCATTGATTAAAGGCACCTAAAAAGCAAGTCCCTATCTAGATTATATTTAAATCTACTATTAGAATTGATATAAGAGAAAGCACTTCCTCAATTCAAGCTTTTTTAATTTACCTGTCATCTCTACATAGCCAGGTTTGCTGTTTTGTGGCCAGCAGATTGTTTCACCTGGTTGTATGACTGCTGCCACTGTCGCACACATGTTCTTCCCCAGGATCAGCAAGAAGACATTTACTAACTATACAAGCACCAAAACATCAAGCAGGTATGCAGAAATAAAAGTCCCAAAATATTTTGATGCAGGTCTTCAGCTCAGCTGGAACTCCCTGTGTAAATGGCAAAAAATCCATGACAATCTTTTTTTTTTTTTTAAAACTTGAATGTTAATAGTATGCTCTGATTTGTAAAAGTCTTGCAAGTTCTTTCAGCCAGTTGCAGAAAAGATTTTTTGTATCTTCCAAATACACAGAGTGAACTAGAAATGAATTTGGTATTAAGTAAACATTAAATGTATGTGTAACTAGTTTTATAAATAACAGAACATTGCATAGTATCATGTGCAGAATTTGGCTTCTTCAATTCAGCTCGACTTTGGCAACGGTGTACTTACTGATCACAAATAACGATATTTAAAATATATCTGCAATTCACTCAGCTGTTCTTTTCACCTTCCATCTCTGATTTTTTTTTTACTCCTATGAAACTCCCTTATGCTCAGACAGCTCCAGATTCCCTACTATGTGTGTTCATCTCAGCTCCTCCCATTTCTTCATCTCATTCATACACCTTCCTGTATTCCCACTGTGTTAAGGGGAAATTCTTTTTACTAAGGAGAACACAACCCGCAAAATTGGAGTAATTGGTAATACAAACTAATTATTACTGCAAGCTAGCTTGAATTCCAGAAACTGTAAAACTCTTATTTTATTCGTAGACTATGTCAGCACATTTGTATCTATTTATTTAGTCACATTTCTTCCTTGTTATATGCAGCTGATTAGGAGACTAAAGAACTTATTACCAGTTACTATCTAATGTTTTCTCCCCCTACAGGTAACGTTGCTCTGTTCTTGCTATATTCAAACTCTGATAGGCTTGTCAACATATTTTATCATTTAAATCTTTTTTGCTATGAAGGTCTGTGAAAGAACATACTGTTACAGTTTTTGAAACAAGGATACAAGCCTAGCGCATCAAGGCAGTGTCAGAGCTAAATGATTCTGAAAAGGAATGAAGAAACTGACTCACTCAGCTTACTTCTTCACACGCTGGATTACAGATGACTGCTGAGCAGATCTCAAAGGAAATTTAAAAAATATTGATCAGATATAGACAATGACATTCCATAAGCAAAAACTGGGTACATATAAAGTAGCAACTTCAGTGTTCACATGCTGGCTGAAAGCCTTTGTCTGCATTTTTAATAGTCTCAGATAAATGAGGCTGACAGTTTTAGCCTACGCTTAACTGAAAATACAAAAGATTAGGCATAAATATGCAGTGTCTGGAAGATAAAAGGAACAGTACCATTATATTTAAGAAAGCAAACATTTACGTGCTAGGTACAGTGTAGTTACAGTACATTACATGGAGAACATATGAGCTGCCTTGCCAATTTCAGACAGGATATAAATAGTGTTTTAGATGCTGGTAAAATTGTAAGTGGATACATATCACTCCACTTTACAAACTGTGGTCCCTCTGCTGGCATTCAGTATCATCATCTCCAGTGACTGCTACCATCATGAACTTTCCTATACTCAGTCATGGCAAATTTTTGGTTCACAGTCTGGCCACTGTGAACACATGTTAAGCATTCATATCTGTCACAGCCATGCTTGCTCACTTCTTTGCTTGCTCTTGCCTTGTCTAGCCTACTTCTGGCTTCATCTGCTCCATTCCTGGTGTTCTGTCCTCTCCTTAGAAACCCATTCATGGCCCACTTTGTTAAATATCCATTTGAATACTAGCTCAGATGAACTCAATCACCATCTTTATTTACCAATATTGCTGTTACTGAACACTATGCACCAGAACGTTTGAAAATTAGAGCTTTCCTTTTACTCCAAACACCATCTGATGTAGTGTCCTCTCTCACCTATGGCCACACAATTCCACAGTTCAAATATATTATGCTATTTTTGTGAACTAGAATTGTACTTAATAAGGTTTTGAAATTCCAGCTTTTACATTTAAGTTCCCAAAGACTGACATACATTCTGTAAGGCTATAATGAACATTTCCTCAAACTATGCACAAAACATAGACTGAATCATCATTAGCTGTTTTTCTGGCAGCATAAACCTGTATGATCAATATATTTCCTGAGTTTGTTCAAAGGCAAATTGTAATGATTCTTTTGCTTCAAGTCATACCCAAATGCTTTAATGCTTCCTCAAGTATGATAAATTAAGCCCTTTTTGAAGATTCTGAATACTACATGGACATATCTATCCATCATGATGAAATGACCCCATCATTACACTACAGCTCTGAGGTTTGGCATCCATTCATCACATCTCTTTCTTTCATCATAACGGTAGATTCTAGTTTTATACTCATTTGTAAAGTTTTGTATCGTTCTTTTCTTTACTGCAAGCAGAAGGCATTGCATCCTTGAAAGAATTAGGAACAGCAACAACACAAATATAATCAATACTTCTGAAGAAGCCTTTTAATTAGAACTTCAGTACCACACATTCTGATTTTTAAGACCACAGAACATTTCTCATCTAAATGGGGGAAAAGGATGACTTCTTGTATAGTTTTCTCCCTCGTAGGTAGCTGCTGTGGGCTAAACTTTCCAGTTTTCTCAGTGGTATTTCCTTTAAAAGCAGTGCCAACTTAGAAATTCCCCAAATTTGTCCTGATTTCAAAAAATATCAAGCAAACATAAATATGTTAAAATTATAGATGTGATAACTGCATATTTCCTTATAACCTGGCTGTGAATAAATAAATAAATAAATAAAAAATAAAACTGGGGAAGGACATTTCAGAACTGAAAAGCTGTATTTGCAGTGGACTCCTTTTAAGTGACCATAGGCTGATGTCTTAATGTTCTTTGTCACAACTGCTTCTACTGTGCAGCAAGCATTAGACACAGCCAATAAAAAGTCAGTTAAAAATACAAGCTATTTTTGAATATGACATAATTAACTATACTTAATTAATAAAAATATAATATTATGTTTAATGGTCTGGCTACAGAGACCGTTCATAAATTCAGTTATCTGGGATCAAATATATCCAGTCAGAATCTATCCAATAGAAACCATAACATTTTGAACAACAGTTGGTTCAGCCACGGCTTTCCTTATATCAGCCTGAAAA